TCACACTAGTTTTTAGCTAGTTATATCTTTTCATGCCCTGACATAGATAAGAGGATGTTTGAGGGTTCGATAAAAAGGCTTTTTCACCTTTGTCAATCTTRGACCACCTGCTATTCACTTGAGTACTAGTTTTGGTTATGATTATCCATCGATTTAACATATCAATCAATCCTTTATTATACCCTATATTATGCTAAAATGTTCCACTTGAAAGCGATAATATTACCTTAAATCGAACCGACTTCCTTATCTTCCGTTCATYGTCCTCACTGTTGCTGTCAGTTCTTCCAAAAGGTTTACGAAAGAACTTTAATGAACGATACATTCTTCGCTTTGGTTGGATAGTTTCTAGCTTTTCTTTAGAGCTGGAAGAAATGAACACTGACACTTTCAATACTGAGATAAGCAGCATTTTACAATGCAGTATTAGACAGTAGAACAGCCAAAAGAACATCAATAAACATCTTAAGCTGCGGACACACGGTGCATCATTGCGCGCAATGTTACATGCAATTGATGTTGCGAGCCTTGAATGCAATGATGACGTCACCATTTTTTTCGACACTCAAGAGTACCAAGGCAGTAGCACGACGTACTACACGAAGTATGCAAGCCATCACTTACAATGTCGGTATAGAATCCATTGTCTTTGATCTTCTTCTGTGAGTCAATAACCCTGGTGGTGGCCTCAGTTCATTATCATCGTCTTCTTCCGAATTCGATGTTCCACTCCTTAGAACGCCTAACATTCGCCTGAATAGAGAAGGTCTTCTTGGCTAAAGACAGAATATATACATATTTAATTAATTTTTGTAATGGCGTACTAAACAAACGATTCGGAATTACGTTAAAAAAAAGTAAAGAAATATATGGTAGAAACATGATAAAGAGGATATTRCACGTTGGCTTAAAGATCTATAAGTTTATCTTCGAGTGGAAAAGATCAGTATTTTACAAGTAAGTGCAACGAACGAGAGAAATATTTCTCAACWCGAGAAGGTAAATTTGATATCTTCAAGCCAACGTGTAATTTTCTTTTTAGCACGTTAAAGTGAGAGGGAAAAATCGATATCTCCACGTGTGAGGATATGGGAAATACTGAGGTCCTGGATGTAGTTGGTATAAAAAATACGAGTGGAGTATTTCCTAGTAAATCTCACTAATGCTAATAATAAATTAAATATATTCGGGACCACATTTTAAATTTGTGGGGTACTCGACCCTAAGAAGCGGCAACAAGATTGCTGGGTCTCAAATCCCTGCACGCTGAATTCGTGTGAGTTTCCCGTTTTGCCGGGATGTCTGAGACATTTCAAACTTCGATCTTTCGCTCAAACCATGCATTAATTAATACTGTACCTTCTTCTTTCGTTGCTCGAGTCGCTTCTTTTTTAGGTGTTTATAATTTTCATATATTAATTTGGCACAATAAATCTTTCCTATTGTCATCTGCTGTGAACTTAAGACTGAAAAAAAATGCATACGCGTTATTTGAGGGTACATTTTATTGATAATATCAATGATGATGCATCGATATCAACGGATTGGCATATGGTAGAGTACCCTCAAACATGTGTGTGTGTGTGTTGTGTTTGTGTGTGTGTATAGTTCAATGATTAGGGCTGGAAGTGGGGAATAAGACTTTAGGTAGATATTAGTAAAAAGGTATGGAGGTTTAAGCACCCCCTCTCTCCTGTCCAGGCCTCTTTACCTCTCTAGTCTCTGCTGACGTTAACGAATTGTATAGATCTTAAACGACATATAATATTTTTAATCGTAATATAGATGCTTTACCTGATTGCAGTGGTATCATTTTGTCTAGTGTTTTTTTTGGTGTTTTAGGCCATATTTTCTTAATAGTTCTTCTCAGCTCACTGTCAGCGTACGCAGGGTCACCGTGACTAAATATACCAAGGGAAGTACGAATAAGAGCAAACAGAGTGGATGTGAAGAGAACCGTGTTGTCCCCCATGATTGGCATGTTCATCTTGATCAGACGCTAGAACGAACAAGTTGAAATCAATAAAAAATCATTAAATAATCTCAATAAAGGTTGATAAACAGTTATGAGATAATGGCTACAATAACATGGCCCTTGTTGCATGATTGAATTGGAACTAACAAACAACTCTACTCAAACAGGAGAGAGACAGGGCGATTTATTGAATTCACAGCTCGAAATTTGAACTTTCTATTGAATAGGTCACTTGCATTATGTCGTCATCTACTACCACTACCAGACTCCCTTTCACACTTCCTTTTGATCAATTAATTAGTACTAATTGTCTTACTACTCTCATAAGGAAAAACAAATATTGAAAAAAAGAAAATTCGCGAATCATTTTGGCAGTGGTAGTAAAATGACGTCATCATGCAAACCATGAATATGCAAAGTAGGTGTTATATGAAAAATATGCAATGTATATCGCGACGCCTGACACATGCTGTCATGGTACGGAATTATCTTCACAATTACAGCAACCTACAGCGCGAGAGATCACGTTACTCTCTACATATCTAATTCATGAACTCTCTTTAATGATAACAGCAAACCTTCCCCCAAAAAAGAAGAAAAGAATAGGATAAGAAAGAAGGGGAAAAAATTATTTACCTTGTATGCTATGAACTTTGGACATTTTTTACCAAAACCAACAGGTGGCGACATGTCGCACATTAAGAAATAAACCTGTGTGTGCTTTATTCTCCCTCTAAAACGAAAGTGTAATCATGTTAATAATTAAATAGCGTATAATTTTGCAGAATTAATCTCCGGGAAGCCCAGATTCGATAAAAGCTGAAGGTAAAAATAAAATTTWAAAAAATCGCCTTTGTTGAATTTAAGTAGTTTAAGAGGTACAGGGAGAGGGACTCCATCTTGKCTTCAAATATTAAAAAATCAACAAAGGCGATTCTTATTTTTTTAAATATTATCTTYACATTTATCTAAACTGAGCTTCCAATATTAATGATAAATTGAAGAATTACTCAACAATCAAGAATACTAAATGTCTCGTCTAGTCTCACTTGTATACTGCTTTTACACTTGATTACGCAACAAGCGCTTGAGAACAAGCTAGTTGATACGAAATCTTTTCTCGAGTTTGAAAACTTACGTTGCTCCAGGATCGTATTCAGACCAAACGCGCACAAATTCGTCCAGGTGATGAGGACCAAGAATAGATTCGTCACGTGTGAGATACTCGAAATTATCCATGATGACAGCCACGAATAGATTAAGCATCTGTAAAAAAAGATGGTTGCTTGCCATCAATAAGGTTGAAAATCTTCGAGAACTCCGAGCTCGCTCGGAGAYCGATCTCAGACCACCTTCTGAAGCAATCTGAGTAGTAGCAGATCTGGCATGACTTGAATGGAGGAGAAGATGGCTTTTACCTAGACTGTCAGCATAGCTAATGATAGCTTTCCACAAGAGATTACTCTTAAGCCTTCTATCCTATAGCATTCTTTAAGGAATTATATTTTAAATTTTACAATATGCTATTTTATTAATGTTCAAAACTCTAGGACGTCACTAAGCCACGAATAATTACTGATCTTATCAAAATCCATTGTTTTCAGTCTGCATTATCCCAACGAATGCATAGAGGAAAATCAGACATATTTAGTTCATTCATTATTGGCTTTGTTTCTATGATAAACAAGCTAGAAAGAAAACAATTGGATTTTGATAAGAACAATAATTATACTAGATAATTACTGGGGCACGCAGCATTCGTAGGTATAATGCAGGCAGCTTCGGGCTACGCTGCGTGCCCCAGTAATTATCTATCAATGAATCCTCTTCTATCGGGTCTGCCCTAGCCGGACTACAATTTGATTTTAGTTTTAAGATTTGTTTTCTATTTTTCTTTCAAATTATAAGCAATTATATCAGTTTACAGACCAAAGGATAACAAAACTTAACACTAAAATATAAAAATGTGAATCAAAATAAAAAATATAAAAATTCGAACAGAGCGATGAGGCAAACTCTAATTTACTCGTCTTAACTGGTTGTGACTGTAGCTAATATCAGACCGATGATCCAAAGCCCTTATTAGATTTTCTTCTAGGTTAATTGACTCTTTATTGCCTTAATAGAAGTCTTTGGTAACACTGAAAATTTCGTTTTCCCGATAAACGGTCCTGCAAGGAAACACACGTGAATTTGCTCTATATTAATTAACGAAAGATCCGATCTTAAGGTTTTCTCAAGAGAATGATGCGGGTTGGGAGAAATCATAGGTTTTGTACATTGTACGAAAATGAAGACTTACCAGAAATGAGCAGAAAAAATAAAATGTACAAAAGTAGAAAATAGAGGCTGCAGTACTGCCACAGATGGTGCCACGTTGGCATGGAGCATTATCAAAGCACGATAACATGATTAGATGCCAGTTTTCTCCTGTTGCCGCTCTAAAAAATGAAGGTTTAAAAATTAGACTTGTCAAAAAAAGGTGGATATAAGTCACACTCGAAATATAGAAAAAGCCCACATAAGAGAGCCACTGTTTAAACCTATTTTTGAAGCAAAATTAAGAAGGAAAAAAATGGCAATGAATTGAATTAGACTTGTCAAAAAAAGGTGGATAGGTCACACTCGAAATATAGAAAATGCCCACATAAGAGAGCCACTGTTTAAACCTATTTTTGAAGCAAAATTAAGWAGGAAAAAAATGGCAATGAATTGAACTAATTTTATAGCTTACCTGAACAACACAAGAAGCGATTGAAGAAAAGATTGAAAATGATTGTGTGTATTGATCTCTTTATTTGGTAATTGCGCTATTCGACCAAAGAGCTGAAAACACAAGGATGCAAAAAAAAATTATTGACAGGGACAGGGACAAGGAMAAGGAATCGTTCATCATTGGATAAGATCAACAATTGGGCATATATTAACGAATCAACCTAGCAGATACCTGCATTCCGATAACAGCATAGACGAAAAACAGCATTGCAATTAAGATAACGACGTACGGTAGGGCCTGGAGTGAGGAAAAAATATCAGAACTTAAATATGAAAAATATCATTGGCACTATAACAATTGCTAAGCTTCACGCTTCTGATCTGAAGCTTTAAATTAGCAATAATGATTCGGGTTTTTTTTATTTTTTATTTATTTTGCAGAAGAAAGAAAACCACATAATCAAGAAAAAAACAACTTAACTAACAACCAACTCTATTCACATGATGACGGTGAACCACGGCTCATTAGCGGCTAGCGCATGTGCACTTCACTTTTGCTTCCCCAAGTAATGTGCTCCTGCGTTGATTTTGCGTTTGCRTACAGTCGTTACCAATCTAAATTTCCCCTTTTGATTACTTTGTKACCTGAATTTACCTTAAAAGATTGGAAAAACGTCCATAGCAGAATACGTATCGTATATCCCTGTCTAAGAAGCTTGACTAGGCGCGCTGCCCGAAATAACCTAAAGAAACTCGGGTCAATTCCAAGTTTATTGTCAGCACCAGCCTAAAAAGAACACAAATTTCACAGTCATATTGATAATAAGACATTGAAACTGAGCTATACAGCTGATTAATCTATCCTAAAAAATTCCCAAGGTTTATATGYTGTCTAAGTACGTACCATGTCGATAACTACTCCAACTAGCGTAGCTACTACTATGGTGAAGTCAAACACATTCCAGTAATCACGGAAATAGTTCTAAGTTAATACCATAAAAAAATTTCAAATCAATATAATTTTAACCAAGCGTTTTATTGGGTTAAGTTTGTTTTCCTTCCCTTGTCGTCTTTCCTTATTCGCTCATTTCTGTTCTTTTTCTCTCTTTTTTTTTTTTTTTTTT